TTATATATTTTATATATAAATGTTCTAAATGTCCTTTGGGAGTCCATTTGTTTTTATCTTTCCAAATGATGACTAAATACCTGATCTGTAGCATTTCTCCTGAGAAGATACTAGTAAGGGAATGACAGTTTTGATGCACTTTGGAATGGCACAATCACGTAAACGCTTGCACAATTAAGACTTATGAACTCATCCAAAGTTTCTAAACATGATATTCTAACTAAGAACTAAAATACCAGCACAATGCAGCAAGTTAAAAAAGAAAATTCTATGTAATCAAAATATAAACAAGTACATAGGAAATGGATATCTGTCAGTAAATCTGTATCTTTTTAAAGTAGGAAACATATGCGCTTCAGAAAAAAAATGTAGCTATCTGACAAACTTCATAAAAAAAGTACTTTCCAAATGCATAACAAATGCCAAGATATCCCGTAACTGGCCAGGTATAGCCACATGAGAGCTGCATGGCTTAGAGCAACCCGGGAAGGGGTGGGGTGGAAACAAAAATCACAAAAATAATAGATCAGCAAGTCTAGGAAAAAAAAAAAAAATCACATCATCATCTAAATTACTGTATGCTTATATCACAACTGCTAAAGGAGCTGGGGAGGGGGGGAAATAGAGACTGCAGTTTAATGATTCTTAGAGTTACCTCTAAAAATTCAGAAGAAAAAATTATCAACTTAATATACTAATCCTAAGCACCAATTTAATAATTTAAGTTAACTGTATTTATATTTCTCCTACTAGGGATGGAGCAAGTTCTGCTTGAAGGCTTAAAGTTTAACTCTGGAGCCCATCTGACTTCTGTGTTCTTGCCATGCTTTCTCTGCTGTTCACATCAAAGTCACTGTAAAGACTCTCTTAAGTTTCAAACTCTAGGCAAGCAATTCTTTGAAGAGACAATTACGTCCTACAGTTCAAATCAACTTTCAGGTCATGAAAAGTGAAACATGCCAGTATTTGGTTAGTCATTAAATAATTTGTGAAAATGGAACAGCCAACACCGTTCCTCGACAGGATTTGCCTTAGAACTAGCAGCACCCAGGGCAGACCAACTGCAAGCACATCCAAACTCCACTAGGAATTAGTAGTGTTAGAAAATTGCATACACGTTAGATCAAGAAGGCATCGCCATACACGTGGCATCGCTATATTGTTTTTCCTCTATTTTTCTCATTAAGAAAAAAAAAAGGAAAACAGCCCTACAAAGACCTTTTTTGGTTCGTTGTTTGTTTTGTTTGTCTTCACACCTGGAAAAAGCAGCACAGTACTCCCCAGCTGGAACAGCTCAGCGCTTCCCACCAGCTTAGTTCTTTCAGAAAGCACTTTCACATAGTTAAGGTGGTCTACTTCAGCTAATTCTCAGAGCTAACCTTTTTTCCAGTATATATTTCATGCCACATCCTGACAGCGATTTCAGAACTGAAATGGATCTATGGTAATGTCCACTACTAACTGTGACCAGATCTTGACACAGATCATCAAGCCAGGCCCTTGGGATGGTTCCACACATTGAACTGAAGCTCAGACTAAAAATCTCACTGAAACTCAAAAGCTGGAGTGGTCATGAATCTCAGCTACTTTTCCCTATTTGAACCCTCACCCTGTAACGAAAGCACGCACACCAAGGGAAAATAACAACTGCCTGAGCTGGGAGCGTTAAGACACAGGTGAGTTATCTGGCTGCTCTTCAGTAACCGTGGACTCGCTGTGCTCCTCGCTCGTCTCGTTGGAAGGCTCCTCGTAGCCTGCCTCAGCGGGATCCAGGCTGCTCCCCTCGCTTTGCTCCTCGCTTTGCTCTTCACTGGCCTCCGCAGACTGCTCCAAGTTGCTCTCCAAAGAAGCTGGAGAGCTGCCAGTTACGCTTTCGTTTTGGTTCATTTCATTAAAAGGTTGTGGGAGAGGTGCAGGAGACTGTACAGCATTTTCCCTAGCAGGGATGGGCACTTTGGTTGCACCAACGTCTACGACAATGTCATTTTGTGGTAGAGTTACCTTCTCCACAAGTTTCCATTGAATAATACTCATGTCTTTCCCTCCAGTTGAAATCAAGTGACCATCGCTATGGGTGAAGCTGACATTTGTCACATGACTACTGTGAGCGCTGTATTTGTGACTTGGAGCCTATTGAAAACAAGCAGAAAGATAAATCACATGCTTGACTAGAAAAGCACATGATACTGAAACCAAATACTACTACTTTTGCTTTGCCCTTCAAGAGAGCTCTTTATTCACCTAAGAGTGAAGAACTGTATTTATATTAGGTTTCCCCCCCACAATACATCCTCTCTTTGTAAGGCTTGTAACTTGGGACAGATTTAGATCTTTATGCAAAAAGTAATGGACTTAACACCAAGGCCAGCCAACAGAAAGCATCAAGCCTCTGCTCCAGAACTTAAGGATAACTATCGCCACTTCACTTTTAGGTATATATATAAACTTAACGGGGAAAACCATGCTTTTGTCCCTAGCACTGTTCTCAGATGTAAATGAGCTATTTCGTTGCCAGGTTCCAAAATGACTGAGCTGGAAGCAGGTGTCTGGCAAGGAAAGCTTCATGCAATGCAAACAGGCACATAGACTAGACTGGTCTAGACTTACCTTTGGCTTGGAACAGGGATACTGAAAGAGATGGACCTTACAAAAATCATCAGCAACTGCTATCACTTTTCGGTTATGGGATCTGACAAGGGCATTTATGTCTGTCCCATCTGATCCTTCAGGCCAAACTCCTAGGAGAGATTAGAGCAGATATTCAGTGATGGTAGTTTCAGAAACAAATTAAAAGGCAATCCACAAATAAAAATAAAATCTATAAAGCTGTGAGAAAAGGCAAGCTTAACAAAAGGTAAATAAGATATTCAACTGGAAAATGGAATACGCATTGCATTAAATGTCATTAATATTTTGCTAGTCTAATGCTGCCACCCCACCTCCTGTTCCCCCAAAGCCACAGCCTTGGCCAGGATAACCTCTCAGGCTTGATACATTTCCTGTTCAAAACCTCAGTGTTGTTAAAGCTTATCTTAAGTTTGCTGCTAAAACTGGCAACTCTTAATTTAATACTTTCACTCATGCACAAACATTTTAAAAGCAAGACTGATGCTGAAGCATGGAACAAGCCCAGGTACCGTACATTATGCACAGATTTCTTTTGGTTTTATTTTAAATCTAGAGCAATTTTTAGGATTTGCACGATTCAAACGAGACAACTGATTGATGACACTTTGCACAGAAACCCAGCCTGTACAAGTTTCATAGATGTAAGTGCTGTCAAGTGCTTAAGTACAATTCAATATGCTTTTAAGTGAAAAGAATGACACAGATATGTCTAGACAAAAGAATAACAACATTGCCTGGATGAAAAGCAGTGAACAAATTGGGGAGGGGGGAGGCTCTAACTTTTAACAAAAAATAAAGATCCTAGAGATTCCCATAACTAAACTGATGATTCACATCTGCAAGAAAAACTAACAAGAGGTAAGCAAGGGGTTATAAGATACTAATTTATGCCAAAGGTACCTTATTTTTACAGCTCAGACTCGGGTTTCTGATTAGGTCAGGAGTTAGGAGGAATTTCCCCCCCTCAAATTTCAGCCCCCACCCCGAAAAACTGTGTATCCAATTGACTGACAGGGATGTCCATTATCAGATACGAAAATATCTTCTTCTCCCCTTACAATCACTGACTTTGGTAAAACAAAAACCATGTGCTGTCTACTATTTTATACAGCACAACATGCCGACTTAGAATTGCCGTATCTTTTTCAAACTCCCACACTCTCTCTTCTTGGTTTTAAGCAAAATGGCAAATAGCAGTTAACTTTAAAGTTGTTTTTTTCTATTCTTCAGTGGGTGGAGTAAGAACTTTATTTTCTCTGAAGAATAACAAAGGCAAATTGTTAAGCTTGTTACAATGCCAATAAGCTACGTTGTAGGTAATTTACTAAATAAAGACATGAAATGCTAAGGAAAGTATTCAGAAACATTTTAGCGCTCTCACATCAATGAAATCAAACTGAGAAATATGTACTATTTCAGAATTTTCAAGTAGCTCAAAATGAATGAATTTTAACTTTCTCCTGCATTCTATACATAAAATACTGTCATCAGGTGGGAGTAATAAATGAACTTCAAATCAGTTTCCTGAAGTTTCAGCCACCACCTTAGGCAGACTGTGCCAAACAGTTATGCTACTTCCTCTTCTTTTTAATTTAAGATTAAGACGACTAATATTCAAGATTGCATCTCTTATTAGACATCTTTTGGTGTTCACAAATTCTTTTAGCAGCTCTAAAGGTAAGACAACACTTTGTCATAAGACAGCAGGATTTGCTCTGAATGCATCGGGCAAACATGGAAAAAACCAAGACATTAATATGACCAAGTTCTTAGTTCTTAATAACTGTAAAAATAACACAACACACAAAATAATAGAACTTGGTTATTAGGTACAACAGCAGCACTTCAATTTTAATAAATTCTGCTAGCCAGCAGTAAGCCACTCAAAAGAATCTGCTCAGACAAAAGTGTGGGAAATGTGCAGTAAATGAGAGTGACTTCAAGTGCTTGGGGTGCAGACTGATGATACTGCTGAGCCAATATAGTAATATCAGCTGCCAAAAAGAAGCAATGCTATTCTCATCTGAACCATGCATTTCCATCCTTTTTCTTCTCCTGACAACAGTGCAATACCTGAGCCTACGGACACACTATCCACAGAGCTAAATTAGTAAAACACATACCTCAAAAGCCAAAATCCCATAAACTTAACCCTCTTTCCTGAACATCAAAGTGAGCAGCCCCCAGCTTGTTTGGATCCCTGAGCCAGCTGAACCTCAGGTCAAAGCCAGACTTCTCCTTTGGGCAGCAAATATCTGCTAGTTTGGCTTAGCTGCACTGTCTGATTTAATGGGAAAATACTTGCCTTTGTCTGAGACCAAGCCATAATTTTAAAATTCTGCAAAGGGTGTCAGACTACCAGACAACATAAAATTAAAGCATGATGAATCTTGGCTAGGAAGTTTAAATATATTCTGTTCTGCCCCAGAATAACATCACATTATCTGCTTTATCTACTTCACTCCCAGGTCCTCTGGCACACTGAAGATCTTGATAGCAGTTGAGACTAATTAAACTTAATCCAGAGTGGTTAAAGTTTGTATTAATCCAAAAGAGAATGCAGATGGCATCAACAGACTTATCCACTTTTTAAAAACAAAAAGTAAAAAGGCTTCTCAAAACTGGTTATGGGAACTGTTCATCTCCAGCCTTGCCCCAGTCACCAGTAGCTTCTATGCGACAGCTGTTAAAGAGACAAAGCCAATGGTCTAGATGTGAAACCAAACTCTGCATTCCCACACCTCATCTCCTTAGGTCAGGAGCAAAGGACACTTCCGGGAAAGCACTGGGATTCAGACAGCTGCTCCCTTTATTCTGTCTGCTCTACCACCAAACATAGTGGTGAAAGTTCAGTAGCAGCAGAGCCACTGACTGCTACCTCCACGATTCTGGTAGGTTTAAGTACTCTCCACAAAATGTAAAAGGGCTTCAACTCCAAGGCTATTCCAGAAGGAATATTCAGTCCTTACAAGGTGTTTTCATTGCTCCTGGAGAAAGACGCATATTAGTGTCAAACAGAGAGTTTTGCTTTTCACTTTCTCTAGCGCCTCCTGAATCTTCTGATACTCCATTTTAAAAAAAGGCATTTGTGTTGCACTATTATTTCAGTCGCAGTAGCAAAGACAGTGAGGAAACAACTGCTGTGGACCAATTCCTTGTCAGCGTAGGCTTACATGCACAGAGCATCAGGAGGAAACAGCCATCCACTCTCTACTTCACCCAGACGGACTGAATAAAAACAAACATGTACACAACCTGGTTCACAGTTCTCAGGCTGATGGGAGCCAGTATTTTCACCGAACTAGCAATAAGCAACAGTAATCAGATCCAGAAACAGCATGCTCTTGTTTATTTCTGCTACCTACCTCAAGCTCCAAACAACTCAAAAATATTTACGCAGTTTATCAACCAGTCAACTTCCTTCTCTGAGCCCTTTATCTTCCCTGCTTTACCTCAGATCTTTGGTACCCAGAAAGAAAATCAAGCCTGGTTATAAAGCACCAAATGCCCTCCACCCACAAATCAAGTACAATCCTTTAAGACTACTTGCTCATTAAGCACATGACAGTCCTAAAATATGCATGATAGGTGTCAGAAGCTACAGAAAGCACTCAGACTTAACTGATTTTCTTCCACCCTGCATATGAACTGATATTCAAAGTTGAACTCCTAGTAGCTGTGAAGAAAAGACTCGTAGACCTAACCCTCACCTCTAAAGAATTTGCTGATTTACCTGCTTTTGATGTTTCCAGCAACATGAAGCACAGAGGCAGGTATTTGATCTCAGGGGTGGAAGCAAGACATTCAGCATCCTGCTCACACAACTTGGTTTTACAACACTGACAAGCTGAACCACACTTTTCAACCCCTCACAGAGGGGCTCCTCATTTATGGCCAACAGAGCTGCCTTCAGAAAAAGCAGTCTGAATTGTTTGGCCACAGTCTCAAACTGTACTATTAAAATTGGATCTGTCAGCTTTGTAAATTTTTTTGTACATTTAAAAAATAAACGACTAGGTGAAGAATCTGTTTAATCTTTAAAGCATTTTTACTCTTTAGAAGCAGTGTATATTACTCATGTTTGACTGCAGGTATCAAAGTGCTGTCATGATTTTAAATCGTGAACTATAACCTACAGTCTTCTTCCTATTCCAAAACAAGGTAAGCAAAGGAGAATGCACGTGCCATATGAGCACTTTAAAATACCAGCTTTTTGCTTCAGTGCCTCCAAAATTGATAGCCTAAAATGACAGCAGAAAAATCAAATCCCAAACTTCAAGACTAAATAGAAATCAATTATATACTGTCTATAGAGCATCCAGTGCTCTGTATCACAGACAAGTATTGTAGTCAGTCTCTTTCGTCTGTCATCTCAGCACCATCCTCAATAATCATTAACAGCGCATTTCTAATGACAAATTGAAGCAAAAGAAAACACAAAAGCAGAGTGTCAACAGCTTAAAAGCAAAATAAACGATGCTTACCAAACACCTGGAAGCCTAGCACACAAGTGTATGTCGTCCAATCTATATCCTTACAGTCAGAACGATTCCTGATTAGCTTACAGCCACTTGGAATGTCCCCTGTAAAAAAAAGGTGAGTTATGCCACGTAATTTTATTTGATATGTGTGCTCTTTGAAGGTGCTAAGACAGCAAATAAACACATCTTAAAAACAATTTGGAATCACACTGTAGAGGCCAAGACAGACCAGTACCTTTACCAAATTCCAGATACTTGAAGCTTCGCTTGGTATTTAAAAGTCACATTTACTTCTCATTTCCCTCTTCAGATCAGTGTACCTTGAAAACACTTCCCTGCAGCTTGGGTCCCCTGCTACCTACTCTACAAAATGCTTTAACAGAGTCTGTAATAGAATAATTTCTCCTTCCTAACAGCTCCATTGATGTGCTAAAACTCAATCAATCATTCAGGAAGCTCTGCTTTTAAAACAGTGAGAAATTACTACCAGAGGAGCCTTAGACTGCTTTTCTACTTCTAACTAGGAAAGGAAAGATTGTTTTCTAAAAGAATGTCCATCTTTCAATACACCAGCCCAGTACTAATTGGTCACAGATCTTTGCTTCCCTATACAGGCAATTATAAACACCAGTGTGTCCTTCTGGTAGACTGAGATATTCCACCATCCAGATTTGAAACCTGAGATATCACAGGCAGAAAGAACATATTAAGGTGACAGATACTCAAACTGATGGCTCTTCTTGCCTGTACAGGAACAGAACTACAGTCCTCTTTGATCTTGTTAAAACCACAGGAAGACAATAATACAAAAAACAATTTACACATGGACTGATATGCACTATGCACGTTGAACTTTTGACATAACCACTATGTATTAAATTCATTTTTTCACATATTAAAAAAAGACAAACACAAAAAGATTATTACCACTAACTCATTAAAGTAGCAGTATTGCTTTGCTTAGTTTTCAACACCACCAGCCAAGATAAAGTTTAGAAAAAGAAACCCCAGAACAGAACAGTGGCACAGACCCACTGATTTTATTCACCCAAAATAACTGACACTGTTGACACTAATTAGACAACCTTATAAATTATTTTCAATCTACAGAACTTTGGGCCAACATCAAAACGCAGTGCCACTTGTTCTGTAAATTCTATGCTGTTAAACTGATTTATGACCTTGTAAAGAAGTGAGCTATATTTGGCATTGCCATTAGGTAATACTCAGCTCTGAATAACATCAAGGTATCAGGTTACACCAGTTCAAATTGGTTCCTTTGTCAGTAAGCATTTGGTACAGTCCTGATCAAACACACTCTCCTAAATATTCTGACAGCTTATACATACTTCTGTTTCCAACGTATTTAATTTCATACTTACAGTATAGTATTTCATAGTCTCCTGAGTTTGACATTATATACTTGTTGTCTGGGGACCAGTCAAGGTGTGTAATATAGCTGGAATGTCCCTGGAGAAGAACGCAGTAACACCAGTGTGAAACACGTATTTTAATTCAAACAGAAGCAGAAGTTGCGCCCACAGATGGGACAGCTAACAGCAGAAAAGCACCTCCCCACCCACGCCAGGTCTGCTGCAATTCACTTGTGCTCCTTTAAAGGCTCCTTACTCTCCAAGTGCCACACTCACTAACAGCTAAACACACACCGGCTGGGCATCGTGCCTCTTCCACCGCACCGTGGATTCGTCACTTGTAAACAGTGTTGTCCCTCTCGGACCCCAGAACGATTTACTCCTAGAAGGCACACTGCTAAAATATGGATAAACTCACACTTGTACTTGAATTAAGAAAGTATACATTGCTACTAATTGAGAAAGGCGAGTAACTGACACAGCACCTTTAGATTCCATCACAAAAGTGACAGATAGGACTCTCATTTCTCTGTCCATTCAAAATAATTCCCATTAAATGCACGCACATTCAAATAACCTTTGCTCATCCTAAAAACTTAGGATACCTTGGTTAACAACCATTACGTAAAACTGCAAGGATGGGCGTTACAGGAATACACTTGTAAGCTTTTTGAAAGTTTCTGCTGTGCTTCTTACACTGCATACATGCTAGTGCCAGCTTCAAACAGCGTCTTCCCTGTAGGCACAGGGTCATCTATATAAGAATCAAAACACTTTGGTCTAATTGGTTAGTTATCACCATCAAGAGCACACTGAGGGCGAAACACCCATCTTTGATTTTAAGGGAGAAGCTAAATGCAGCTGTCAGAATATTTTTCCTGTGCATGAACTTTTTTCTTGGTAATAATAATAATAGTAATAATAAAGATATGAGAGGCTCCAGAGAAGCCACAAATTTGTGTAAGGTAGTAATAAATCATTTCTCTGTAAAGGAAAGGGTAGGAAATTAGTAAAAGTGATGTCCATTTCACTCTTTCCTTCTTCCACCCTTCCATTTCTTCCTACTGCTCCCCTTCCCCTTATAAGGCCACCCATTTTCTCCCCTTCCCAGTCATTCTGCCACGCAACAAAACACAATTTTCTCGACTGACGGATGCCAATTCATTTCCCTCTCTCGGTGGGCGTTACGAAGATGGTGTCTCTCGGCCCCCCTGCAAGGTCTCTTGGCCCAGGCTGCACCCACCGTGCTAAGGCCACGCTGGAGCGCGGCGCTGCCTGCCACGCTGCCCACCACGCCAACTTCCTCTGTAAGGGAACTCTAAGAGATGCTGATTGCTTCCAGAATTACATGAAGAAATACACCCATGTCTGTCTCCCTGTCCCTGGGTTCTCTGTGAGAGACTGCAAAAACATTTAGGAGAAAAGCTAGCCTTTAAGATTTATTTACTTATGAACTAGTCTCTGCCTCAAGCAGAGGAACTGCATATTGACATAAGTACTTTGCAGTCATGGGTGGATATATGATATCGACATGCAAACTTGGTATTTGGGGGGGGTGGGGGGGAAGCACCATTGGCTAGGATATTTTCTCCCCCCCTCTTATTTTCCAAGTCTTCAAATTTGCAAGCAAACTCCAACATGGAAAAGAATTGGTCAGTCATTTACTAAATCCTGCCAGACATTTGGCAGCTGTTAAAATTCCTGGGGGTGGTGGGGGAGGGAACAAAGCAATTGGCCAGGGGGCTCCATGCTGCAAAATCCCTTCAGGCAAGCGATCACCAAATGATGAACTGGAACATAACATTGTCGTAATATTTTCAATAGGATGAGCTCAATTTGTATTAAAATCTTTCTTCGGAAGCTGCCCACTGATAAGGCAACATTTTACTCTTTCCTGTTCTGTACCTTTATACAGAATGAACATAATTATTCATGCTATCACTGGCTAGTAAAACTATGTGGCTAAATGGAAACCCTCTCCTTCATTGGCAATGTTTATCTGTTTCAGACTTAAGTGGTGAAAGGGCCAAAATGCCCACAGCCTACGGGATGGGCACACTACTTATTTCAGGTTAAGTCCAGCGTATCAAATACTTCGGTGTGGCTGCCCATGTGGCTTTCACCCCACAGCCCTCTCAGTAAGTGCGTGGCACTCGCTGCTTCTTTGCTAACAGGTATCTCCGATGTAAGACATAGACTGCCCCAGCTACCTCGGAGCTGCTGACACGCTGGAAGTTCATAACCCAGCCCGTACCTTCACATTGCTGTCTGCATAGCTGGAGCCCTCAAAAAACAGCTGCAAAAGTCAAAACGGTTGTTTCGGCTTATCCAAAATACTTCTGATCACAACCAACACCATCCCTCACTGTGGAAACACGCTCACAGCTCAGAGATTCGTCTCTCCGGCAGCAGCAGACAGCCTGGTTGTGACTGAAAGGGGATTTAAATGTAACAGTGGGCATACAGCCCATAATGCACAAGCCGATGCTGGTTCAGTAGATCAAATCCTTCTGAAAGTATGCAAATAATGTATTCCAAGTTGGAAGAAACAACCAGAAGTTGATACCGGGAGGACCGAGTCATACTACGCGGAGGTCACCCGCAAGGCTACTGAATGACAGAACACCAGAAGGACGCGGTGCCGGCACCTAAGCGCAGCCCGGAGAGTGCTCCGGGTCCCGAGCACGCCTGGGTGCCTCCCTGCTCAGCATCAAGCTGGCACGGACCCGCCAGCGCGCTGGCGGGCAGCAGAGGGGAGGCGCGGGGCACGTGAAACTCGATCGGCAGCGTTAGCTCTGGTCAGCTAACACGCTGCTGCCTTCTGCGCAAGCTGGAGCCATCAGGGGAGCTCAGCCCTGACAGAAACCAGGTTGCTAATTTTGGCTGCTACATGCAGTCCCTGAGACCGACAAAAATGGTTAACAGAAATCTGCTTTGAAGCCTTAACGCTTCTGCCTGCATATAACAACGCTCGTTTCTCCCATCCCAATTTTTACAAACCTCTTTCCTGCCAAGGCCGAGGGACAGACAGACATACAGGTGCTGGTTTAAATTACAATATGCTCTCTCCTGATACATAATACATACAATACACAGAAAGAAATGATCTCATACATCTTCAAAGAGCTCACAGAGACCCTGAAGTACATAGTAAGCTAAATACTACATAGGCTAAGATCAGCCATCTCAAGTGATTTTATCTTTTATGTTAAAAACTAAGTGATGGGGTGAAATGTTATACTGAGGTGCTGCTGTCCCCACCAGCCCCACTGGGTCCCCGGTCTGACCTCCCTGTGGGCTCACTGCCTGAGCTCCTCGGGAAGGCTGCAGACCCAATTTCTCATCTCACGACCATTGTGCCATCAGCTAACCCCCGTCATCACCACCCTTCTTGGGGGCTGCAGGATGCCCTGGCTCACCGTGCACCACAACCCTGCCATCGAGGAGTCTCCAGCACACCCAACAGCCTTCCATCAAAAAAAAACCCAGCCCCAACCCCCCCCTGCCAGCCGGCACCCCCCAGGGACAGAGCAAACCCACCGCTGCTGACCGCCCTGGCAGCCCCGTGCCCCCAGCAGCAGCTGGACCCAGGCTGCTCTGCACCCCCGTGCTCTAGCAGCACGGGGTGTCCTCAGCCAAATGATGGGTAGAAATCTCTCAAAGACACCATACATGGCACTGAAGGACTGGCTAATGCCTCTTCGTTTCTCCCTAACTAACAGTTTGCGCTGCAAGTCTTGCATCAAAGGTTGTAGAAAAATAATACTACTACTAATGATTAAAAAAAAAAATCTAATAAATAAATAAATAACACCACCCCCCC